TTGTGGGACAGGGCCGTGTCCGATGCGCAATCGAGTAAAAATGACTTCGTCTCTTCTGGAAAGGTCCGAAGGATTTCGCTGATCCAGTTTGGGTTTTATATTATACAGTTTATTATTTTTCCGTTTTTCCCAGTGGCTCTCCCACAGACTGAAGGTGTACTTTTTTATTTTATGTTTAAAGCTTATTATATCCTGTGTGTATGTGTCTTTACGTCCCCATCGACACAATTTAGATAATTTAGGAGGCACGCTTCTGACCCTGTCAGTCACGGCCCACCCAGGTTGAGAGGAATACACTATTACAACATCCCAGCAGAAAGACCGAGATACTCGATAAAAATGTTCTCCCCTTTCGGAAATCAAACTCTGGCCTCCTGTGTGCAACGCATCTCACCACAACACCATGACTGACACCAGTTAATACATCTAGTATCGTGACCATTTATATAAAGTGTAACGTGACATACACATAGAGATCAAAATCTAGATAAAGGAAAAAAGAAGAATGTATTACAACTGAAATCGAGTGAAATCCAGACAATTTCATAAATCCGGATTTCCAGATTTCTTTGGAACACTGGCACCTTTTACCATAACACCGCAGACACCAATCGACCAAAGCATTTGGACTTTAGTGTACAAAGTGGAAACCCAAGTACCAGCTCTTTTTTAGTTTTAGTAAGAGTTTACGGCACTTGGAACACAATAAGGTCATATAAGTGCCGAAGATTAGAGGTGTTACAAGAGAGTAACAAACACAAAAAAGGAGGGGAGATAGAGATGATAGATGTTTGATAGGAAAGAAGGAGCAAACCACACCAGAGCACCCGGAAACCACCCACAAGTACCAGTCTCTACAAAATGGGTGCTTATCCAATACAAGCATTATGTTTAAAAAAAAACAACTACCTACAAATCAAAGCCTTTTATTCTACGTTTCGATAGAGAAAAAAGACTAAGAAGCATAAATGGGAAAATATGAGTTTATTTTGACCCATTAATTATGACATTGCTAACAGGTATACTCAAAGACTTGCACGCTTTTGGTCATTTAAAATGAACACATATTATTGCAAACAGTGAGGCACACATGTAACGAAAAAGAAAGTAATATTCAAAATTGTGGATGCTGCTAGAAAGGATACAAAAAAGAAGAAAAAAACCCACAAAGTAGTAAGGAAATTATGGAGGGTTACACTGTTAAACATTGTTCGAAAAGACATTTTCTTGAAACAAAAGAAAAGAAAAAAGTAGACAAACATACCACACAAGGAAAGAAAAGCCAGTATGTCTTCATCATGAGGTAGATCAAACGCTGTTTTGGAATGCATTTACACACTCTGGGACATTATTATTATGCCTCACATTTTCTACACATGCCCATTTTCGTTTTGTAAGCATTTGCCTGATCAATATCGTCAAATGGCATCTGAGTGAGTAGGCTATTCTAATAAATGCAAAGTCGATGAAAAAAAGACTAGAAAAAAACCAACTAGAATTCGGTTTACGTATACTTTCACATTGTGAGTACCCAAACCATTAACAAGTGCACAAATAAATGCATGTACCCTGATACTGTGCGTTTCTTTTTTTATTTTTTTGTGAGTGATTTCACTCACATAAAATAATGAAGTGAGTCACGAAACAAGATTAGAAACTGACAAAAGTCTGTTTGACATACAAGCAGAGATAGTAAACACCTTGTACTGTGAAATATTGTAAATAGGTGCTGAAAATTTGGCCAATGGATTGACTTGTTCGATTCATCTAATACCTCACAATTTGATTTTATCAGTTTAAAAAAAACAAACACTGATGGTAGAAAAAGCCCCCAGATACGCCATATGAATGTTCATGCATACATTTCATTGAGCAATTTAAAAAAATAATTTTTGATTAACTGATAGAATACGAACACAGGATTTCAACAACCTGACTAGAATTCACACAATATAAAAATTGTATATTTCAATAGCTTTTGATACTTTCGTTCCTGAAAGACCTTTATATAAATCGTTTCATGCCATCTTCGACAGAAACTTTCCTGTGGAATCATGGTAAAATCAGGCGCTCGAAAAAATAATGAAATGGAAGAAACCAACATTTTTCTTCCAGCTGGGCAATTTTTATAGAATCTATATTATTTTACTTTTGGCTCAACACATTTTACGTCCATTTAAAACACAATTCTGTGTGGATTTTACTGAAAAACCTTGATCAAAAGGGACTAAAAATGAACATTTGCAGTTTCCAATGACACTCATGCTTTGGAAGTCACTAAACTTTGGTGTCCATTTCCTGGATTATTTCACCTCCGACACATGTTTTTTCCTCAAAAGCAAGACAACTAAACAAGCATTTAGATGATATCAATAACTCCATATGCCCAAAATTGACCAGTGCCTGATTCCACTGAACAGTGACACATTTGTCTCTTCACCTGAAGCTAAAAGAAAAGAAACATGATTGTAACAGGTTCATCCAAAATGCGTTTATATCTAATACTGAATTAATCTGAGCTGCTGAGAAAACATGCATAACAATCACGAGTGGAAATTTGGTACATTAGCACTCACACAAATTGCACATTTATAAACATGTACACAAATAAACAAAACCTTTTACACACATATGCTTACACGCACGAATGCACAATGCATGCACACACGCATACACGCTCACACACAAACATCCACACACATATGGAAACTGCAAACAAAAATACATAGGCTAAAGTAAAACATTTCGTTCTGAGTTCCCAACATAGTACGTCCTAATCTTCTTTCTCCATTTCATATTCATCAAATTGTTATCTATCATAAGACCTTTACAAAAATGATATGCAGCAAACGTGCTCAAACACCCCTGGCATACCAGTCATTCACAAAACAAAGCAACACAAACTAAAGAAAAAACAAACAAAAACAAAACCCTGACCGGAGCAGGCAATGGCCACTGTAAGACATGCTACACTCTCTCTCTCCTCTGGCGCTGTGGCGTCATAAACAGTTAGCGATGCAAACAGCGCGCAGGAACTCAACACATGCTCAGGGGTCCTTGAAAAGTACTTAGCGTGGGTCACTGAAATGTCTCAGCAGACGTAGAGATGCTACACTGCCTGTCATATGAAAGCACAGCATTTACGTAGGTTAGCAGAAGTGTCTTATTACTCTGTCATAAGTGAACCAAACGCCTTTACTATTTTTAATTCATAGCCATTTCAAGATAAAGAGGTTTTTTTGTCAGCAAAAGGCATCCTTCTGAAATTTTAATATTCTAATTTATTAAAAAACTGGTCACAGTTTCATTATGATTTTTTTTCATACAAGTAGGATAACTGATCAGGCATTCCATTTAGCAAATAAAAAAAAAATTGGCGCCAAAAATGAATAAAGGTGT